AAAGTTAACACTGCACACGAAGAAAGAAAGAAAGAAAGAAAGAAAGAAAGAAAGAAAGAAAGAAAGAAAGAAAGAAAGAAAGAAAGACCTCTCTGAGGTGTATCTGAGGTATGTTACCTTACTGACTGTCTAAAGGTGATTTTTACATTATTCTTACAGGAGCAACATATAATCCATATAATCTTAGCAGCTGACTGCTTCATGCATTTTAAGACAGGAGTGTAGACAGGTGAACAGTAGGTTACAATTTGCAAAAAAGTCTACTCACACTACTTTGCATTAAAGCAAACAGGTCAAATTCAAATCCTGCTTCACAGAATGGAGCTCAATCTTTTCAAACCAGTTAAATCCAACAACCATCTGTCCTAGTGAGGGAACCCACCACTTCCAGCCACGAGGTATATGTCCCAATTTGTTGAAAGGTATATTGTTGACTAAAAGTATTATTGCTCTGCTCTCCCTGGTATGTCTGGCTTCTAAAAGCACCAAGAGTAGGATCATTCCTTCAAAGGCTATGTCAGACAGTCACACAGCTATGTCAAAATCACCAGAAGCTTGAGAACAGCTCAGTGTAGGAGAATATCTCATTATCAGCTAATGTAGACAGTAGAAAGTTGGTTTTAACCAGCAGAATCTATATTACTTGAAATTACTTCACACTTGGATTACTTGAAAATACAAAAAAAACAAAAAACAAAAAAAACATGGATTCTGGAATCTTTTTGGAGTTAACCTAGCCTTCTAAATGTTGGCTAAAAAGATTATTAATGTGTCTATGTGCTTGTAAATGTTTTTAAAGTATTGAAAACAATCTGATAGATTTTTGCAGCACTTTAATCACTGGGTTCAGAAATCAGCTTCTGTTTCTATTCACATACAGCAGGTACAAAAAGCTTTAAGCACATTGATGTTTTTCTTAGCAAATATATTTATAATATTTCTACTGGAGATGCAAATAACAGCAAAATTAAACAACACATAGCAAGAAATGATTGCAAATTACTAAAAGTGTATATAAAAATAGAATGAAACAGGGAATAGGGAGTGAACATGGTGACATGTATTGTTCTGATGGAATTTTAATCAACTTTTCCACACAAACCTCCTTTGACGTCTGATTTTAAAGTTTCGAACCTCATCCACAGTACTCGCTACTGTATTTCTAAACCTTTCTAAAGCTCTCTGATTGTTCATTCGCTCCTCTTTCAACTTACTTTTGAATGGACTGATACTAATTTACTCAGAGCAGCAGGAATGACCGACGTTTATTTTGTCAGCTTTACTACTTTAGTAGCAAAGTAATGGGGGAAAAATTTCATTCATTGCTAGCTTTTTCTCAAACTCATTGTTCTCTGTGACTTCCCCTTTGGCTCATATCAATTTTTAGACCCCAACATAGATACTAATATGATTCATTGTTAAAGACAGCAGGCTGGGTTGAAAGTTTAGTAGAGAGACTTGAACACAATCAGCTATTTGTTTCATCCATCTGGTTCAGTCCAGATGGAAACTGGGCAAATTGTGTTGTAGAAAAACAAAAGATCTAGATTACAGTATGTAAGTTATGGACTGTTTGTCTCCTGTTGGATTTGTAGTTGGATTTCTTTAATGCAGATGTCAAGCACCTTGGCTGACTGACAAGAAAAATCAACAAACATTTTGTGATTTATAAATACCAAAAGATGTTTCCTGATCTTTTAGTTTATTTTTTTTTATATTTTTATTTTAGAGCTATTTTAGTTGTTTCTTTTAAAATAAAGAAAACATACATACTACATACATATACTATAGTGGGATGAAAAATAACTCAGAGCCAGTACAAAACACCTGTGCATAACTTCAGTGCATTAAACCAGAAAAAGGTCTACCCAACTCAAAATCTAAGCTTTTTTTTCTATTCATCTCATCTTTACTTTGCCAATTTTATATCACTCTCTTTGTATTATTAATCATTTAATCTTTTTTGTTTATTAAGCTAATTATTAATGGAGTTTAGGGATTAACAGATATGCTAAAAAGCCTGGAGGTTTTCTTGTGGGCTTTTAAAGACGTAACCGCACTTCTTTACTGGAACAACACGTTAGCATAATCATGCAGTGACTTTCCCTGTACAGTAGTGCTTCAAAGTGAACCCAATCTGTTTGAAATGCAGGGATTTTGTGATCAGAATAAAAATAGCATTTAAAAAAATTATTACTGTTATTAGTTTCCCTGAACCATTTCCTCTGCAGAATTTAGAGGAGTGTATATCATAAATGAAGAACCTTTATTGTGATTGCAAAGGATACAAGAAACGTTTGTTTTAATTCACATCCTTAATGGTTTTTAACATTTAAGAATGATATGATGTAGTTCCTATGTCAATGTGCTTATTATTAGTATAGGTAAGTTGAATGTTCTAATCATAAAGTTAATTTGGTCCCAGTGTTGATATTGCACAAATATATTTTTCTCAAAAATTATTATTACTATCAAAAAGCAAAGGTAGAGAGTCATAAAAGGACTACTTTTTTTTTCAATGTCACATGGATATACCAACGCATTAAGTGGATAGACAGAACTGAATAAGGAAGATAAGTAAAAACAACCACAAAAAATTTTTTAAAGAAAGATCTTTATATCATAAAACAAAAATATTTGGAGCTTGGCTGCCCCAATAGGATCTATGACCTTGTGACTATGTTTATCCATATGGAAGTATAGAGTAACCAATCTAATAGTTAAAATAGTGTTTCTTTCCAAAAAGCAATCCAACAATCATATTATTCATCCCTGATTAATATTATGTGTGACATATTTCTACCTTACCATTGCAAAGACAGGCATATATTTTTAGGATTGGTAGACTTATATTTTGACATTTGTATTGATTGAATAAATAAATGACAATGATTAATATTACGAATAATAATAAACAGATCTCTGTTTTAGACTGAGTCCATAGCAAAGCTAGGTTTGCTCATCAGCTGTGCAGAAGCAGATGAATCTGGGCTATTTTGGTTGTGGCTGTGATGATAGCACAAAGCAGGAAATGCAGGGTGAGCGATGCTAGCTTATGAAGGTTGAAAATGGCCATATATTTCAATATTCTGGAAGGAGGGGTAAAATAATTGCATATAATCAAAACTTCATCGTTTTAAAGATAACTTCCAACATACCTTAACATGCTGAAACAAAATCGTTACAGATTAATATGTGGAATGTATAACGAACACATCTTAAAAAAAATAAACAGATATTAATTAAACAAGCTAAACGTGGTTTTATCACGGAGTCACAGATACTGAGGAAGAATGGGAGCAGAAAGATTCCTCACTCCTAGAAATCCATCTGTGTTTGTTGTCTTGGCTTTCTATTGATCGTGTACACACATGCTTGCATTCAAAAGCACACGCTTTACACCCCGAGAGTGTCAGTTCTCTAGTGATAAATGTGACAGCCGTGTAAACACAGCAAGCACGGTGGAGCGTAAAATTCTCCCTGAAAAGCACATTCCTCAGATCAGTACAAGATGGAAATATTAAGCTAGGCTTCCATGTGTCTCCAGGAACTCTGTCCTACTGTGTGACAGACTTTGCTGCCTGTCTATTTGTTTTCTGTGAATTTGCTCTCTTAAATCTGCAGCGCTCAGCAGGATCAACCCTTTTTTTTCCCCCTTCCCTGTCTCTGTGCTAAACCTCCATTTCCACTCTTTGCTTTGGAAACTCTCTCATCTACCAGCATTTCAGATTTCAGAGGAGGTCAGAAGAGTGCATGGTTTGTCACTTCCAAACGTTTGGAAACAGAAAAGGGCAATGTTTTAGAAATTCAGAGAAGCACAGAGATTCTACTTTTTGAGGGTACTGATTCTGTGCTTTGTGTGTGTGTGTGCGTGTGTGTGCGTGCGCGTGTGTGTGTGTGTGTGTGTGTGTGTGTGTGTGTGTGTGTGTGTGTGTGTGTGTGTGTGTGTGTGTGTGTGTGTGCGTGTTTGTACAACAGCACATGCATTTATTACCTGAGAGTAATATTTACCTCAACTATATAAAGAAGTTAAAATCCAATTTCAGAGAGAGTTCAAGCTATTCTGTGTGGTTAAAAATACTGGAAACAATGGGAAATGTCTCTCTCTGCATCTTCATATAGTATGGTGTTAGAATACTGCAAAAGATAAGAGACTGCTTTAAAAAAAAATCCATAGAAGTTTTCCTAAACTTCTAATCCTTATATCATTGGCACAGTTCCAGTGAGCTGTTATGTAGAAACATACACATATTTTCACAGGAAACTGATCTAGGAGGTTTTTAGCCATAAATGATTTTCCTTGGTGAAAAAATGTAATGTTTCCGATCCAATCAGATGAAATGCCTAATTAAAGCTCCAAAGTTAAACTGCTGCTTTACTTTTATATGTCTGATGACTATTCTAACTGAAGAGACTAGACATGTGTTTAGTTTTAAGAACATGTTTCCAGAGTTGGGTAGTAAATAGTTATAATTTTTACATCTATATTAACTTGAGTAACTTTTAGAAAAATATTTTGTAGTCGTTGTACTTAACCAATGTCTTTTAAAAAAAAAATTTGAGTAATAATTATGTTGTAGTACCGCTACTCTTACTAGAAACAAACTTCTGATTAGTCTACCCACCAATAGTAACTTGAGTTATTAAGAGATCAGGTGAAAATCACTGTATACTGTAGATATTGTCATTCTTTATACTTTCCTTAAATGTTTGCATTACCAGTAAAGATTGATTGAAGTTTATGTTGAATAAAAAAACGTTTAAAAAATAAAGAAGAAAAATAAGAAAGGAAAAGTTTATCTATTTATCTATTACTTTAAAAATACCAGCATTTGTAATTTTAAACATTAACGCAGATGTTATGAGCCAACAATTATTTAGTGCTTGATTTGCCATTTTTATACAGTGCTTTTTCACTCTTACTTGTGTGATTTCATAGATGACTACTTCCTACTCTTACTTGAGTTAAATGTTTGGGTACTCTACTGTAGCCTGTTTTATATTTGAAGATAATTTGTGCTGCACCATCTTCTACCATCACTGCTTTACCTCTGTACAGCTACCAAATGTAAACCTGACAATGGTTTAATCATTCATAAATTAGCATTAACAATTAGCATAAATTAGCAGTATTTTAAGTATTTTCAAGGCACAAAACCTCTCAGACTAGCTGTTAGCCTCTGTCTCAATCAAACTCTGGTTTCTAAAAAAAAAAAAAAAAACCCTCAGAGATTTATGTAAAGATTCTTTATGAATCTTGAAATCCCTGTCACATTCAAATTAGATGATTATTCACAACGGAAATGAAAAAAGGAAGGGAGCTGTCTTCTGTAATGTTCTTTTATAGAGACTAATAAAGGAACATGTGCAGCTGTCTGGTCTGGGTGGCTAATTGATTTAAAAGCAAGCAACTGCAAAAAGCAAAAACAAAAAAAATAGCAGTTTATGTTAATGTTTGTATTTTTACACTGCAGTAATTCTTTTCTCACTCAATCTCTCTGGAATGACACACATGACATGTTCTGTTCTCAGCATGTGTTTCACGCAGGAAACTCAGGTGGTGCACCACCTCCAAACTTCATGTCGGGTGTGTCCGAAGGTCTGCCCTAATCACTATATAGGGCAGTATATAGTGTAGATGAGTTTCAGAATGTCTAGTTGATTAAAACAGAAGTGGAGTTGGAATTTCCCACAATGCACCTTGAAAAGTAGTGATCATCTATGGTCATTAGACGGGTAGATATATCCCAGAATGCTTTGTTCTCCTCACAAAGCATCATGGGGTTTGTTGTCACAGCGGCCCGCTGTCGCCTACTGCTGTTGATACCCAACAGCTGCGACAAATAACAAAGATGGCGCAGGCACCGTGCGGGGAGGCGGAGTTACGTGACCAACGGGGAGCAAAAAGTAGCGCTCATTTGTCCCAACTGTCAGTTAACAGAGTTCACTATAAAGTCCACCATATATAGACCCTGCTCTATATAGTGATTGAGGGATTTAGGGTTTAGGGCAGATGTTTAGACACAGCCACCCTGTATAAATTACCATTTTGTTCAATCTTAGCTTCAGTATCTGGGACCAACTGATTTGGAAGTATGCGAAATGAAAACATCAAGTGATATGTCATCAATTCATAGCATAAGAAATCAAAACCTCCAAATATTTTAATAGAAATTCTCTCCAGAAATCCTAAACTACCCCTTAAAGATGTCATACAAATCACCTTGAGTTCCTCTCCACTCCAACAACCATTTGTCAGATTTAAAGCTCAGAGCACTTGCACTAAATCTCAAGTTTCCTATGATTGTGGTTACTCAGTGGAATGGGAAAAACGTTTGCAGCCCCTTGCCTCCCTGAACGCAGCTTTTACCACAAGGCACCTTGTAAAATTAACACCTTCCAAAGTCACATTGCAAACTTTCTCAGTCAAACAACCACTCTGCACGTACTATTGGAAGACCTCTCCTACACACACAGTGCCACAGCTGTGCAGCTAAATGAGCTAAGTGTTTACCCATCTTTCACCCCCCATCCTTTCCATGCCATCGGTCTTGGTCTTCATGGCATTCTTTAGGTCCTTTTGTGCTGTGGTTGTTACTGAATAACATAAATGTGGCAGTTGCAATGTTGTATAAGCACACAGTCCATTTTTAAGCTTATGAACTGCTGAAAAATATCACCAAATACTATAAGCTACTATTGTCTGCAGGTGGTTTCACACCCTTGGATCAACACAAACATTAGGCTTTAATGCAATGAGGCAAAGTAATCGTCAAGAATGAAGAAAAAAAAATTAACATGAAATTACCAGGATAGATTAATTTAGTCATTGTAGGGTGTGGGCTAAGACTACATTTAATTCTTTCATAATCAGCTATAATAAATCATCAGGTATCACAGAAAAAAGTTACAGTTTCTTTCCACTTAACATAAAACAGAAAATGAATGCAGTCATATCAGTTACTATTTGAAGTTATGAATTATTTTAATATGTGCAAGAAAATAGTAATAAATAATAGGACTGAAAAGTCCTATTATATTATGAAAAGGTTTTAATGTATGTTTAAATTCAGTCAAGAAATATTTTATAAATGACATAGTGAGACCAGAAGGCGGCACTGTATATGGTGACAACTTCCACGAAGGCTGGTATTAGCACTACTAACAATCATCAATGCAGGAGATGTTACTGAAAAGTTGTCTAATATAGTGAACACTAGAGATGGTTTAACTTATTTTTATTTGTACTAAAAGCGTCATCTATTTCTCTTTGCAGTTGGTCAGACACCTTTACAGTCTAAAGAGCCATTTTTCCCTAAGAGCTTAAAATCTTGTTAGAGTATTACAGTTATAAATGAGGTGCAGAAACTAATATTTCAGGTTGCCTTTAATTTAGTTTTAGTTCAAATTTAAGCATCCAGTCAGAAGTCAAGTATCACAGAACCATGTTCTCACATGATGTGTACTTTTACAATCACAATCCCTGGGTAATAGTCTATTTTAATTTATATAAAGGCTAAGTTGGTGCTTTTCCTCAGTTTGAATCTGTCCATATAATGAAGAAATCATGTAGCTTTGACCAGCAAGAATCTTGAGATGCCAAAGAAAGAGAGCTTCGTACAGCTTATCAGAATGAAGGGAAAGAGCTCCTGCAGGCTAGAGGCGCTGTTTGCTCTGCAGCCTCTTCTCACCAAACTGCTTCTCTCGCCCCCATTGCATTTATCTGTCAGTTTGGTTTCAATTTTCTAGACATGTGCATGTATTAAGGACTGAATTAATATTTGCCTTTAAGCACATTCTGCCTTTCTCTCTTTCTTTCTCTCTGACACCTGCAAGGATGCATATAGCTGTGGATTTGCATGCAGCAGCTTGAAGGACTCCAGCCTGTGTTAGAGGATCTGCTTAGGCCTCTGCATGATGACGTGGAGACTCAATGCTGCACAGCTAATGGTCACATTTTTGAAATATGTGAAACCATTGTTTAAAAAAGATTTTAAAAATATACAAACAAAAAGCTGTGAAAAGCTAAATGTAGCTATATAAAATTGATAATTCCTCTATAAATCAATGAAGTAAATGCAGAAGCAATACAATTTCACCTTCACACTTTTGCAAATATTCCTCCAACATAATATAAACTTAATTTTGGCAAGAAAAAAAATGTTGCCTAAAAGTTGTAATGGAACGTAAAGTTAATATAATTAAAGCAAGCCTTCATGCAGTCCAATTAAATGTGGCCTATAAATCAGACTAAACAATAAGAGCTCATTGGGGTGAGGAGCTTACCTTTTTGAGGAGTCTGTTTATGAGAAATAATCACTGCAATCACGCTAACAGTGAAACCACCAGCTTGTTAAAATCCCTCCTGGCAGAAGTGCCAATAAGAGACCCTCACCTTGTGGGCAGAGCTTTTATCTGCTGCAGGGTGGAGTCACCAGAGTGGGTGGGAGGTATGCAGAGAGAAAAGGAGAAGAGATAGATTTGACCCGAGTAAACACATCATTCCCAAAAATAAGATGAACTATAATTTATTTGACCAAACATGTTCACATTCAGCTGCTAAGTACCAAAATGGATGACAATGATAAATAACAGATAAGTTTTTCCCAACTATGTGATAAATGGACCACAGTGCAGTGGAGGAAAAGTCTAGAATAGCAACAAAATTAAAAACTGAATAAAACTGGAATCAAAATCCCTAACTCATAGCAGAAGAATTGCAAATCAGAAATAACATCTTCTGTAAGTTTGTTGTTTATCATTTCAATTGCAATCCACCATAAAACATCTTACATTGTCATCCTGTAAGTTACAAATAAATCACTAAAGTTGAATGTTTTTTTTTTAAAAGTAAAATAATATCGATTAGCATCAAATATACAGGCAAGTTTGGGAGCACAAACTAGGAATTATACTCTGGTTTTCCATCCCTTACATCAGTGGCCCTGCTGTGATTTAAAAGAAAATTATGCACCTTCAACCAAACTTTTGACAGTTGAACCCAGGAAAGCCAACTGCAGTAAAAGTTATAGCAATAAAATATATATATATATAATCTTTTTGAAATTACAAAACTACAAATTTTAAAGAGTGATATCTTTAAGTTAAACTTTCTATTTTACTTTGTAATTGAATTCAACATTGCCATCAATGTATATATTTTCTGAATTGCTCAATAGAATTGGTAATTTCTCCGTTTCTACCCTGCCCCTGGTGCAACGCTGAATGTGCAATAAGTGGCACTGGGGAAACGCACATGCTATCTTGGCTGTGTACGTAATACAAAGGGTTAGTTGCATATTTGCAACAATGGGCGTCAGGTGGTTAATTGTTTCATTAAGATCATCTAAGGACGCCACCTATGAGATGATGATTGAGATCAACAGACAGCTAAGGGAAACTGTCTTCCATTAGCGTTCTGTAGCGCCGATCAGAAGATAAAAGTTTGAATTGCCTCTCATTAGGCCTTTTCCAAAATCTGTCTAGGGTGAGAACAACGTCAGGTTTTTCGTTAGGGTGGTTCCGACGTAGGAAACAGAAATGGTCCTAGGTTTAAAGCAGTGTTGTGAGGACAGTGAGGGGATGCAGTGTAGGGCATGTTTGTTGGAAGTCCATCTTTAGTGGGTTTAGCTTCAGACGGTTCTGAGTGCATCAGATGACCAGGCGGTTCATCTCCTGTTCGTAAACAGATTAAACGTTTTCTCAGATTAGACCAATGGCAGCAATTTCATCTGCAAACTTGCAGTTTCACAAACTGTTAACCACTAAGGTGAGGTAGTTTGTGTACAGAAAGAAGAGGAGTGGGGAGAGATCATAGCGTTTGGTGGCTCCAGCGTTGGTGGGAGTGGATAATCCTCAGCTTCAATCTCAGCTTCACTCTGTGCTTATGACATTCTTTAACTGAGACAGCGTCAGTTAAAGAATGTGGGGACTGAAGTATCTTTCAGACACTTAAGGAATGTCATAAGCACAGAAATCAGAGCAACAGAGCTGTTGAATTTAAATCTTCAAATGGCATGTTAGGGACCAGGAAGATGGTGGAGCGTTTAAACCTAGAAGGATGTAGGAAAACACAGGAAATATGTTAGAAATGTGGGTAAAGGTGGAAGAGTAGAAAGAAACAACCTGCTTAAAAAGCTTTGTTTTGTTTTTACACTGAAGGACCTTTTTATCTATCTGTTTTATCTCTAGTGCAATGACTTCTATGTTAGAATCTATAAATTAAACACTTTCTGACCATATTTGTGATAAAACACTAGTAATAATAGTGGATCATATGGACAATCTAAGCATTAGTCAATCGTTATTTTTAACAGGACCAAAAAGACAAACAGTGAACAAAGCCCTACTTTTTACTTTTTTCACTTAATGGCAGATTCCAACTCTACAATTAAATAGGAGTCAATTAAAGGAAAGGGATCAATACCGATGTTTGATTGCACCTTTCTTAAAGAATAACATTTTGTAAAACATTTCCATTATGTTCATATGAATAAGAATAAGTCATCGGTGAACTCACAGCCTTGGGTTCAGACTGATAATGTACTTCTTCTCTTAAGGTCTTTGTTATCCTGTGACGACAGAGTCTTTCCAGGGCAGGTTTTAACACCTAGGTACAACTACTTCCATTTGACATCTCACTAACTCTGAAGCGTCAGACTAACTAAAAATATACAGTCTGTATGTACATAAAGTCTGGCTTATGCGCTGTCCTTCTGCTTCATGTCTGCATGGTCTCTTAAGAATGCCTTTTTGAGAGAACTGTCCATGTGACCGTTTTACGGGTTCATTTAATGCCTGGTTGTGTGTCTCAGTGTGTGTATCAAATGGACAGTGGAAACAAGCAGCTCTAAACTCACATCATGGTGTAAAAAGGTGGCTGTCTAGAAGTATCACCAAAAACCACCCACCAGCTTAGTCAGAGAAACTGGTTTGGAATGGATAAGTTACGGAGGGCTTTATATTTCTCTGTGAGTCTGTTGGATAAATAAAAAACTTTGACTTAATACAATACTGTAGGTTTGGTTCTATTTGCTCAAACATTGATGAGAAAATTGTTTAAAGTCAAATTTCTGCACATCCCTGTTGTTTGTTGCCTGTTGACTATGAAGTCCAAATACAGTGTTTCAGCTTTTATTTCCAGAGAGCCTAATATCTGGTTCTACCTGCACAAATGCAAAACTCATAGAAATGCTATAGATGTGCCACACGCACAGATACAGACACACAGAGACGTGCTGTGTGAAAGGTACACAACAGACAGGGGGTAATGAGCTGTGTGTGTTTGTCCTCATGCTTCAATCCTCTGCCTGTTCTCTTAATGAAGCCCAAATGGGCCTAGAAACGACCTCACACCATCCGCCCTGCGTCACGTTAAAGAAAACCTCATCCAGTTAAGAGATATAGAATCACATCACGTCTTCAGCCTTGAGTCTTTGTAAGTGTTGCTATGTACAGTCCAAGCTCATTTAAGCTCTACGGTTGAATAAATGAATACATTTCTATTTAATTCTCTGTAAATTAATGTTGAATGCCTTTAGATTTTATTTTGATTTGAAACTATATATATCTTCTTATGTTTGCCTTAAATGCTTATTACTGAAATAATAAATTAATTAAAAGGAGGCAAAAAAAACAGATATAAATAAAGCAATCTTTCATTGCTATAAAAGTGAATCTGAGCAACAATTTCATCTAAAGAACTAATCTGCCAATGTTTTACTTCTTTGTTCATCACAACTGAATTTTCATTGGATTTGTAGCCTTCATGTTATGGAAAAGCTTTTGGTATTATGCATTTTCTACTAATTGCCTTTATTTGCTTTATTTGCATTTTATTAGAATTTTTAATCCTCTGTGAGTTCAAAGCAGCCAGTCTGTCAGAGAACCATGTTCTGTATTTTTATCTTAAACTTTTATTGCATTGTAAGCTGAATTTTTTTGTGTTCTTTTAACAATTCTTTTCATTTTGCATTCTTTTGACATTACAAACTTAGGGCTTTGCAGTAAGAACACGTTGCATTTGAATACCAGTGTAGGACAGTTAGTTAAATTGGACTGTGAATATGATGGACTTGCCACCTTACTAGTGTGTACCACAGGCCTTACTGATAGAGTTACGCACCACCGCGGCCTGAAGGTGTTAGAGGATGCAGACAATTGATGGGTCCTTGTACATGTATGTAAATTACACTGCAGAGCTGATCCAAAAAAGAATTGCAAAGATTCTTAAAATATATGTAACTAATTTGAGCAGATTAATAAAATAATCTGCCAATGTAATGAGGATTTCTGGCCTTAAATTAAGATAATAAGATAATATGCACTTGTAATGAGATGTTGTTCTTATTTTTGATGTAAATAATCTAAATCCCAGTGGTAAATTGTCTTACTATACACTAGACTTATTTCAATAAAAAAAAGGACTGACTTAGATTTTTGTTTTTGCAGTGTTGGTGATACAGCATAAAAATTGTTTGTGAGCTTTGTGATGTGTGTTGTGTACTGAGATCCATCTTTTAACAGGAGTCCTATACGGCTCATGCAGAGTCTGACCATATTATCGGAAAGACTAAGTCACATTGTCACCGAATGTGTTTCTGTTTTAGGACTCCTCATTAAACCCTTTCTATAGGAGTAGATATAGAAAAGTGTTTGCTGTGTAACAAACTAATGCTTATAGTTGATTGTACAACATAAGTAATAGATGATGTTAAAAACATGCTAAATAAAATGTTTACACCATGAAATATACACTGAAAACCTCTTGCTCCTAATCAACAAAACGGACCTGTTGACCGAAGCTTTAAATTTCTGTAGACCAAACAATCCAGTGTTCAAACGAATCTAACATCCATTAAATGCTTGTTCTGTGCATGAATGAAACTCATTTTTGAAAATTTTGGAAAATTTTCTTCATAGGCAACAGCTGCTGTTTGCTGTAGAGGCAAACAGTCTTCCTGTCGTCCGCCAGAGGGTGTGATTTTACATTAGGGTTAGCAGTGAGTTTTAAAGCATGGCAATAAAACCTTCTTTTTTTTTATATATAAATGTATCCTCTTTAAAACCCAATATATCTTAGAAGTCCCTTAAACTTAATTTATTTATTCCTTTTTTTCTTTTCTGGTCAAAAATATGTGACAAACATGTTTGGGGTAGGAATAAAAAGTATTTTAAAGTAGAGGAAGATGATTATCAGAATTAGATGCTTGTCCAGCTGTATAAAAATAAATAGACTAATCTTTAATGTTTGCCATTAACTGTGACTTGTTGTATTGTTTTATTCCCGATCTAAATTTATTTAAGTTGAATTGAACTAAATTTTGCAGTGTTAAAGTAGCACTTACTCCAGTTGTTGTAATAAGAGTCAATTGAGTC